ATGCTGGACTAGATGGACCCTCACTGGTCTGACCCAGCAGGGCTCTTCTGAGGTCCTTATCAGGGGAAGGCCTCGGCCTCCCTGCCCTGTTGTTGGCCCTTCAGAGGAACTGGTTGGCCCCTGTGTGAGACAGGATGCTGGACTGGATGGACCCTCACTGGTCTAATCCAGCAGGGCTCTTCTGAGGTTCTTATCAGGGGAAGGCCTCGGCCTCTCTGCCCTGTTGTTGGCCCTTCAGAGGAACTGGTTGGCCCCTGTGTGAGACAGGAGGCTGGACCCTCACTGGTCTGATCCAGCAGGGCTCTTCTGAAGTTCTTATCAGGGGAAGGCCTCAGCCTCTCTGCCCTGTTGTTGGCCCTCCAGAGGAACTGGTTGGCCCCTGTGTGAGACAGGAGGCTGGACTAGATGGACCCTCACTGGTCTGATCCAGCAGGGCTCTTCTGATGTTATGTTCTTCCTTATAGTACTTCCCCCCACTTCAAATCTAGGGCTACAGCTGGTGTGGGGGCAGAATTCACTGTGGCTTCTTTTCATGCAACGTCCCAGCACTGGCAGGAAATCTGTCTACAAGGACATGTGCTTCCACCCATTAAAACATAAGGAAGGGGGGGGGGATCTGGATAATTGATTAATAGCTGATCATGCCCCTTCTGTAATAAGTCCCAAATTTTGCCACTGGTATTATTCTAGAAAGGTGCAGTGGTGAGAAGAAAAATACATTTCTATATATTACATTTTTACCCTGTCCTTTGCCCAAGGTGTACGAGTTTCTGTCCTATCTGTTAATGTTCACAACAACCCTATGGGGTAGGCCAGGCTAAGAGAGCGACTGGCCTGCGAGCTTCCTAGCTGAGGGAGGGGGGATTTGAGTCCACATCTTCCCCACTGGTCGACTGACACACTCCAGCCCCTGGGCCGCACTGTCCCTTACTTGATGTGGTTGTCGGTCAGCTGCTTCAGGATCTGGGAATAGACCTCGTCTTTGAGCGGTTCGGCTTTCAGAGCCCCTTCGAATATTTGGTCGGTCAGCTCGTTCACCGAGCGGGTCCTTTTGGAAGGGTAGTCGCTCATGTACTTCAGGACAGGTACGAAGTCCTTGTTAAGGAACGATAAGATTTTGTTTCCAAACAGAAGATCCTTTCCTCGAGCCGGAACAGGGGGTGGTTTTGGTTAAAAACTTTTTAATGAACACAAACATGAAGCTGCCTTATACTAGAATCAGACCTTCAGTCCATCAAGGTCAGTCTTCTTCTTTTTAAAAAGAATTTTATTTTTTTTAATCAAACAAAAACAAACAAACAAACACAGAATCATAGAATGTTAGAGTTGGAAGGGACCAGTTGGTATAACCAACGGCCTGGGCTGGTTGAAGGAGGGGCTGGTTAGATCAGGGGAGGCCAGACAGAGACCTTGCTGAGGTCCCTCCCCTCTGTCTGCCTGGGGATAGCCAGGGGGTGGGAAGGCAGTGGGATTTGGGGGGCTGGCTGTGTTAGAGTGAGCGACTCAGCATGCTTGGACACCGGGGGGCACTACATCACTCTAAGGGTGCGCAGGTGTTATCCCCTTGAATGGGATATGCCTCTCTTTGTCTTCACCCGGGAGCTGCCCTCTGACCCCTCCTCTCTGTTTCACTTTGTCCTCTCCCTCTCTGCACATGGCCTTCCATGGGGACACATCTCTCTGCAGGTCTCTCCTGTAGAGACAATGCCCTCCTACTCCCACACAAGTGATGCCAGACAAGCTGGCCGTTTGTGATAGGGGAAGTACTCTTTAGATTTTTATTTATTTATTTTATTTTATTTATATGTGACTTATATACCGCTCGTAACCCCTAGCGGGTCTCAGAGCGGTTTACAGGTGCTACATCATAGTAGCCAGTAACCTATCTTGGGCCACAATGTAGTGGGGGGGGGGGGGACAACCTGCCAGCACCCTTTATCCGGCACAATCCTTTTTTCTTCACTCGACAGCTCCGTTGCTATTATTTTCCAGCGACCCGGCAGTCATCGACCAGACTCGAGAGAGTTGTTATTCTTTTATCCTCTTCTTTCAGAGCGGCGCATTTTTCCTCGGGCGCAGCCTTGGCCAACGTCCAAACAACTCCTGCCGTGCTGAGCCCCGCGTTCTAGCGTCACTCCGGCTCCGATTCCGTCTCCACCTTCAACTCCACCTCTCTGCTCGATCCAATAATCGCCGTCCTGGGTCGCCTCTGTCGGTTCTCCGCCGCCGCTATTTCTCTCTCTCTGCTGCTGGTACTGCTGCCGATTCTCTGCATCACCGATCACCATCCCAGCGCAAGGCCAGGAGGAGGGTGCCCCCTGCCACCTAGGGCAGGTACCCATTTCTCTGATGTTAATTAGAGCCGCTGGGTTGGCGGGAGCTGGGACGAGGGCCAGGGGCTCAACCCGGCCACGGTGGGGGATCGAACAGCCATACTGACTGTTCGCCACAGATGTTAATAGCAGGCGTTGTATTGCCTGTGCCACCGCTTCCCTGTCTCGTTTTGTCGTCTCCCTCCCTTTACATGGCCTTCCATGGAGACTCATAGTTCTGCAGGTCTCTCCTTACAGCCAGTGCCCTCATACTCCCCCACACACAATGCCAGACAAGCTGGCCATCTGGGATAGGGGAAGTACTCCTTCGCACAGGCATCTTTCTCTTCTTTTGACTGCAACCCGAATGTGAACTAGATCTACTTGAATAAATGTAAGTTTGCCTGTTTTGCAGTATACTTCTTGGGAGATGTCGGGTCCCTGCTCCGGCCTCGGGGTGGCGCCCCCAGTGGCCGTGTTGCTGGTGTGAGGTCCCGGGCGGACGGGCGGTCACGGAGGCAGGCGAGCGTATAATGCGTCGGAGAGAGAGAGACCTCAGACCGGCAGGGGACGGGGTTGAAAGCACCCCGGGTGTCCCTCTGCCCACACGCTGCGATACACCCCTGGTGGTTCCTTTCTCTCTCTTCCTCCTGCAGTCGTCGCCGTGTGTCATCCTCCTCGGCCCTCTCCTCTGTCTGCCTTTTATTTAGTTCGCCTTACACCCGGGACCGCCCCTCCAGCCCCAGATCCAGGCTCCGCCCCTCCTTATAACGGGGAACGCTGACAGGGCATTCCCCGGAGGTCAGTCGGCATGCCGGCGGCGGTCTCGGTGGCCCAGGGGCCGCGCCGCCGCCGCCTTGCTGTTCCTGCCTCTGTGTGTTGCTTCCCGTCCCGCCCCCGGCTCCGTCTCGCCTCTCCGCCCGGCAGCTCCGTGGGCCTCGGGGCTTTGCCCTGGCGCGACCGGGCCTCGACTCTTCCCTTGTCGGTGTGCCGAGCGACGGGCTCTCGGCTGGACGGCCTCCCCCAGGTAAGCCGGCTCGCGGAGGGGAGGGCGTCGTGGGCTCCCGGGTCTGCCGCCGTGCCACGGATTCCGGGCCCCGGCCTTCGGGGACGGGACAGGAGATTTATTTACTGCACTCAGTATCGCGCTTCTATGACCGGGCAAACCCTGCCATATCAACCAAACACCCCACGGAGATGAACCCACAAAGGGGAGAGGACCCGGCCCCAAGCCAGTGGATTGCCCAGCCGTCCTGCCCCCTTCCTGGCTTCTGCAACGAACCACACTGGCTCTTCCCCATCTGCCACCTCTGTTCTGGCACCGCACTTGGAAGGATATCGATGAAAGCCATGCAGGCTTCTTGCGAGAGCTCTTCGCTTCCCAGGATCTTCTTGAGCAGGGGCTGCTTGATGGGCTCACGGGTGTAGGACCACATCTTGTCTTTCCCCCGGTTTTTGGTGATCATGACCCTGCTGAGCGTGTGCTTCGGAGGAGGCCTGGCGGTAGAAGAGGAGGGAACAAAGAGATGGGGGAGGATCGAGAGCTCAAGGCTTCGTCACGTCTGGTCTGTAGCTACGGTGGGGCGATCGGAGGCTCCGCCCCTTCCTTAAAGGGCCAGCCCCCTTCCGTAAAGGCCCCCTGCTTCTTCTCAAAAGCACTTAAAGGGATTCTTTAAATGCTTTTGAGAAGAAGCGGGGGTTGGCACGCGCCCCTCTCCCTCCCCTCCTGCAAGATTTAAAGGGCCTTTCAGCTGATCGGTGGGGCGATCGTGGGCTCCACCCCTTCCTTAAAGGGCCAGCCCCCTTCCTTAAAGGCCCCCTGCTTCTTCTCAAAAGCACTTAAAGGGATCCTTTAAATGCTTTTGAGAAGAAGCGGGGGTTGGCACGCGCCCCTCTCCCTCCCCTCCTACAAGATTTAAGATGTTATTCGGGCAGGCGTTCCACGTGGAAGCAACCCAACCCTGGGCACCTGTGCTGAAGCTTGTCGCTGACTCCCTCTCCAAAAGAACTCAATCCATGTAACGCAGCCCCGTAGCCAGGATTTTGTGGCTTGTGGGGGTAAAAAAGTTTCTGGTGGGGCTGCCATTATTTCCCATAATGAAGCAGGGGTGGTGGTGGCGCGTGCCCCTCTCCCTCCCCTCCTGCAAGATTTAAAGGGCCTTTCAGCTGATCGGTGGGGAGCACGTGCTCTCCGCCGATCAGCTGAAAGGCCCTTTAAATCTTGCAGGACGGGAGGGAGAGGGGCACGCGCCGCCACCCCCCGCTTCATTCTGGAAAATAATGGCAGCCACAAAATCCTGGCTACGGGGCTGCGTTACATGGAAGCAGTTCTTTTGGAGAGGGAGTCAGCTACAAGATTCAGCACAGGTGCCCAGGCTTGGGTTGCTTCCATGTGGAACACCTGCCCGAATAACATCTGGCATTCTGTACAACATGGCCGTGCTTCTGCCAACCTTCCGGATTCTCCCCCGCTCCAGTGTGGTTTCCTGTAGACCTGCTTTGGTGCAATCCCTTTCTAAAAGTTCGTACCCAGGGTGGGTTTGGGGAAAGTGTGATGGAGAGAGAAAATGTCTATGCATCACCGCCCACATCCGGAGCTAATTCCCCTCTTGCCTGCCATCTCTCCCTCCCTTCGTTACTAGTGGGGTTTTTTGCTGTTACTTATTATTGGTGTGTACTTCTATTAGAGAATCACAGCTCATAAGAGCATTATGACCATGACAGAGGAAAGCTGTAGATAGTGCGCTCGAAACAACCTTATATTTTCTGTTATCAATATGGTAACATCCATATAACAAAATCAATACAAATCGTGTAAAGAGGCCCAAAGGTGGTTGTCGTTGACGAAATTCTCCGGATTGCCAAGTCGTTTCGAGGAAGCTTCATCCGAACAGGACCATGTGCCACTGTGTCTTTTAGTCTCATTCCATGATCTTCTCATTCCTTCATACACATGTCCCACTTTGAATTATAGATGCACTTAGGATTATTATTGAAAACATTGAGGTGTGTTATGAAATAACTCAGGAACGATCTTCTAATTGGTCATGGAATGAGACTAAAAGACTCAGTGGCACATGGTCCTGTTTGGATGAAGCTTTCTCGAAGTGACTTGGCAATCCGGAGAATTTCGTCAACAACGGCCCCGGTCACATGGGCCAGATAACGCGGGGGGGAGGCGTGGCTGTTCACCCCGGAGCAAAATAAAGCACGGTAGCCAGATCACACAGTCCCCTGAGTCTCCATGCTTAGGCTGTTAGCCGGTGATCACACGGCGATACTGCAGCGTGGCAAAGAAGCGGCACAGCGCGATCACACAAGCGTTTTGCGTTTGTGCGCATGCGCAGTTTCCGCGGAGCAGCACTGCTTTCAGTTTTGTGTTTGTGCGCATGCGCTTACGAAAAACATCCAGTTTGTGATGGGACGTGGACGGGCGCCAGATGCCACGGGATACTAGCGCTCCCGCGATCAGACGTCCGCCTGTGCCACGCGTTTTTGGGATACCCTGTTTCCTCGAAAATAAGACCTACCCCAAAAATAAGCCCTAGCAGGATTTCTATGCATTTGTGGTATAAGCCCTAGTGTGTCTTCTTGAGAAAAAATAAATATAAGACAGTGTCTTATTTTCAGGGAAACACAGTAGGTTGGCAGGAGCTGGAACTAGAGATGGGAAGCTCACTCCATCATGCGGCACCCGGGTCTCGAAATGCTGAACTACTGACCTTCCACAGCCTGCAGTTCAGCGTCTTAACCACTTGAGCCACCGCAGCTCTTAGAAGCTCACAAATCATGCGCCATCAACAACCTTTGGACCTCTTTACACTATTTGTATTGATTTTGTTATACTGATGTCACCATATTGATAACAGAAAATATAAGGTTATTTCAAGCGCACTATCTACAGCTTTACTCTGTCATGATCAATGTCCTTATTATTGGTAGCAGACGCATGCTGGTGGCAAGGAGAATTGACCAGGGCTGCCGTCGCCCACCAGCAGCTGTCCTTGTGCCACCAGCGGGTATGCCATTGGGGGGGAAATATAAAGCAAAAATCACAGTTGTGTCAACAGTATGACGTCATTTCTGGGGCAAAGTGGAAATGATGCCATGTTGCTCTAGGCTTCAGCAAAAACTCTGTTGTTTTACTATAAAGTTTCTGCTAAATGCTAGAGCGACATGATGCTGCTTCCGGGTTTGCCTGGGAATTGACTACATTATGCCAGGCGTGTCCAACTTTGAACAGGTAGTGATCTATTTTTTCCGGCCAAAAGTGCTGGTGATCTACCACCATGAAAATAACGTTTCAAATTTGTTTCAAATTAGATTTTAACCCACTAAAGTTGGTTTCCACCGCCCCCCCCCCCATTTATAATGCACCTTCTGTCATTTACTGGTAAGGGGCTGGTGACCTACCTCTGACCCCTCCGCGATCTACTGGTAGATCGTGATCTACCTGTTGGACATACCTGCATCATGCCATTGATATGATGGTACCTCCCCATGATCCTGCCCCCTAGCCCCCTCGAGGACATAGAGGTGACAGATGGAAGGGGAAAACATGAAGAAATGTCGGTGTGGAGCCTCCATTGCTACTGCGAATGCTTCTTCATTGCAGGCAGTAATGAGAGGGGATTTTCCCCGTGTGGAAAGTTCAATGTGAACTTCTCTTACTAGATAAT